CCCCAAAACCCCAAAACCCCAAAACCCCAAAACCCCAAAACCCCACCTAAATACCTTTCATTGAAATTATTGTCAACAATTATTTCTGAATCAAGTGCTGAATTCTGTGCATCGTGTTGCTAAATTTCTTACTCTGGTCCTGATTCTGTCTGTTTCGGTACTTCTCAAGAATCTCTGAGCGGAGGTTCTGGTCCAGATCCGAACAAATTTGGCTATTTTTCTTACTGTGCATGGTGAAGTTTTCGATGAAATTAGTGGAGGTCGTTCCTGACTTACTCGTGGAGTTACCCTTCTTACCTCTGTGCCTCCCAGATGTAGTCTTCGGCCCCTCGTTTAGTTTTTGAGGGTGGTTCATAAGGATAGTTTCAAACTTTTGAAAGATACCCTTAGATTTAGCAAACATCTTATTGACTGGGATTTCCAAAGAAGTCTTATTATCAATTGATCTGTTTCCTCACTTTCTAGAGTTAGATCTCTCTGAGTTCTTTAACTCACTTGTGAATTTAATTCTAGAATGAGTCTTCTTAAACTTATTCGTAGTCATCGGTCTCTTCTGTGACTTGTGATCTGAATTTGTCCTTCTCTTGGTTTGACAAGCAGAATTTACAGGTCTTTCTTTGATCCTGGAAAATGCCTTTGGCCTTGAGTAGCTTCGAGGTATATTGTTCATCGAAGAAGCATCTTCAGTAACAAAGGTGTTCTTTCTGGATTCTTTAAAACCTATGGAGCTTCGACAGTCAATGTTTCTATTAGAATCTATAAAAATTATAAAATTCTTACCCAAAGTATTGAACTTTTCAACTAATTCTCTGTTGAATATTTGCATTCTTTTCAGTTCCTGACTATATGCATCTGTTTCATTCTGAAGATGAGAGATTGTAACTTCATAATTCTTCTTCGCATTATCTATCTGCCCTTGCAGAAGTGTCTGCCTCTCTGTTAAATCAGTCAGCATTTGAGAAAGCTTGAAATCTGAGTTTTCTAGCTTAGTTGAGAGAGAAAACTTAGAGCAAATGAGGTCATCCAAATTCCTACAAACTTCATCAAAGAGTTTCTCTTTGCTGATCTTGATATAATCAATTTGCTGGTGGATGCCTTGGAGGTTAATATCATGCTCTGATAATTTCTTATGGATCTCATCTATTGAAACCAAAGATCTAAACTAGAGTCAAGAGGTTACCTCCTTTCTTGCCCTTTGAGCTTCTCATGCAGGTGCTCCAAATTTTCAGCTAGTTCTAGAGGTGAAAGGAGCTCCCTTACTTTGGCTCTGCTGTTCAGCAGCTATTTTCTCTGCTATTAAGTCATCAATCTTGTCCATGCAAGTGTTTATTTGAGCTTGAGATTTGAAATACTCCTTGGCAAGGTTATCTAGTTTAAAATTTTGCTGTACATCCTTTTCTTTTAAGAGGTTTGAGATGTTGTCAGTGATGTCCTGCTTCAGGTTCTCTATTTCTCTGTACATTGGTTTAAGGATCCTTTTGGCAATGTGAGGTATAGGTACTTTGGTAATAGAATCATAATCAACTTTAGAGAAATCTATTGTGTCTTCATCATCGATATCAGGGTATACAACTTTAACTTCTTTATTTGCTTCTGCTTGCTCAAATCTTTCTTTAAGATATCTAAGGTCATCATCAAGTCCATCAAACTGCTGATTTAGCCTATGTACAGCTCCGTGTATAGTATTTAAACTTTTAGAATTGGTTTTAAATTCTTTATTTTTACTATCTTGATACTTTTTAAACTCTTCTTTATCAAGTTTTGCTTGTAGGTAGACTTCAGCTTCCTTTTTATAGCCTTGAAAGACCACCTTCTCCAATTTGGAGACGTAAGTCTCTAACATTCTGAACTCTCTATTTAATCTGACCATATCAGCTGCATTTGCTGGAAATAAGTTGAAGAAATTACCTTTGTCGCAGAGTCTGTCTTGAACATAATCCTTGGTGGAAAGATCCTTGAGTTCAGATTTGAATATAAATTCAAATTTCTCTTCCATTTGTTCTGAGTTATTTTGAAAGCAGTCCTTCTGCTTTGGTAAAGTGTCTATAGGGCTAGGCTTGATGTGGCTTACTCCCGTACAAACTTCTTTAATCCATCATTCTCCTGGATTATTCTCATGATAGCATCGTTATGCATTTCGACAGTTTTTGTAATCTTATTTGAAGCTGAGCTGGTCGCTATAAATATGTTAGAATGATTGATTATATAGAAGGGTTTATTTACTCTTCAAGATCGCCAAGTCTGGTCATGAACTCAGCGAGATGAAATTTCTCTTGTAGCAATTTCTTTGGAGCAATCTGTGTATTATTTGCTTCTAGTTCAGAGTCGGAGATATCAGATTTAATTTCCCTTTGGCTGATCTCTAATAGAAAAACTTATTAAATTTTGAAAATATAAAGGTTTAAAAGTTTTATCTATATAAATAACAACTACACAACTTTAAAAATGCTACTTAACCCCCAAACTCAAATTTAAATGCTAAAAACACCCTCCCAAGAGGTTGCCCCAATAACCCCACTTCTCATCCCCTATCTCTTCCTTTCCCAACCCCCAGTCAACCCACTTATCCACCTCCCAGACCCCACTTGTTCCCTCACTCAGGCCAAGTCTCTCAGCCAAGTTCAAAAAATTATAGAAAAGAAGAGTACCATAGGTTTTCTTCATTTTTATTATTTTGTTAATTTATTCAGTTGTTTGGGAAAATTGGGGTTTTGGGGTTTTGGGGTTTTGGGGTTTTGGGG